TCCGTGTATCCCCGAGGGAAGCTAGCCACGAGTAGCCCAAGACAATGTCAGTAGTACCCAGATCAAAGAGAAAGAAGTCTTCGACGATTTCCACTCCCTGTATTGCCAGTCTCACATCCAAACATTTGCCTTGACCGTTGATGATTTGGCCATTTCTCACTCTAACACCAAACTCCCTTGTCGTTACAACAGGTAAGTTGATCCTGCGAACAGCTCTTTCAGAGATGAAATTAATAGTTGCGCCGGAGTCAATGAGGACAATCACATCGATCCCGTCAATCATTCCTCCCATCCGCATGGATTTCGCCACATAGAATCCTGCTAACGCTTGTAATGTCAAGTGCATGAGTTGCTGACCTTCTTCCACTTCTACTGGAATAATTTGATCCTCTGTTTCCTCTGTTATTTCATAAAATTCCTCCTCATTGCCTTCATCGTCTATCTCCAAGCATTTGAGTCGTTGTTGTGGCTTACAACAGTGCCTGGGAAAGAATTGATCTCCACAGTGGCGGCAGGGGTTTGGTTTTTTAGGGTCTGGACCACTGTTACTCCTGCGCGCATCTTTCCCTGCTTCAAACGGTCTCTTGGCAGGGGAAATGTTGGTGCTTTTCGAAGGCATCAGATATCCTCCGCAAGGCGAATATTGATATAAGGGCGACGAATACTGTCGTGTAGCTGGTCGGTAAGAGAAGATTTGATTTTTGCTCTCTTGTCTCTCTATGAGCCGAGCTGCTGCAACGATGGCGTTGATGTCCGAGGGTTGACACCGGAGTACCTGATCCCTCAAATTCTTCTTCAAGCCCTTGAGAAACATGGACTCGGCGACGTCATTTGGTACATGAGGGACCTCCACGAGTAACTCCTCGAACCTCTCGTGGTATTCATCCACAGACCCATTTTGAGTGATTTCCATGAGCTGGTTGATAATAGAACCTCCTCTGCTGGGGCCAAATCTCGCCCGGAACTGCTCTTTAAAGTCGTTCCAGTCGCGCACCACTTCCATGTCCTGAATGTATCTCAGCCAGGTGACAGCGCTGCCTGTCAAACACGTCGTGGCTTGCTCCAGCTTGTTGTCCTCAGGCGTCTTGTTTGCCGCAAAAGCCTTATCAACTCGGTAAAGCCATTCTTCTGCGTTTTGCCATTCGAATAGGGGTATCTCTGCCACTCGTCGCGGAGACTCCAGTGTGGTGTCCTCCGTGGTAGGTTTTTCCAGCTGCGGTGGGATCTCGAGCGGCGGTGGTGGGTTTACCCTGTTTCTGTCGCCTGTAGGGGAAAAGAGAACTCCTTGAACTGGGTTGGAGGGCGTAGTCTGGGGAGTAACAAGCGGAGTTGCGAATAAGGACGGAGTGTGCCATGCTTGCACTCGAAGGAAGTTCCCAAACATTTCCCGTAACCAAGCTTGTTCCTTTTCCATCTTGTCGAATCTGTCGTGGAAATCCAGTTTGCGAGATGGGGTGTCGGTGACGGTCGGATCCGGGACTCCTGAACTCTCTGGGTTAGGTGTCGACATCCTTGGGGCTCTGATACCAATTGTTAAGCCGGTGACCTAACAACAAGCCAGTGACTTGTGGTACGAGAGAGAGAAGAGAGAAAACGGCAAGAAGATAGATTGATAATTGTTTAATGTTGTGGGTAAGAGAACCCTAACAGTTGGGCCCTTTTAAATACCCATTACAGAAATAATAAACGACAGTGTTTTGATTATTATAAGCAACAGACCCTCTACTTCAATAATAGTCTTCTCTCCTTAGCCAATTCTGGTCGGCTCTCTTTGCTGCACAGGGCACGGCACTCCATAAGAGCATGGCATATCACCCACAAAGCGATGGTCAGACAGAGATAGTCAACCAGTGCCTCGAGACATACCTCCTTGCTTTGCAGGCGAGAAACCAAAGGCATGGGGAAAGTGGCTTAATTGGGCTGAGTACTGGTATAACTCCTCTTTCCATTCTTCTCTTGGCAGTATTCCCTTTCGTGCATTGTATGGTCGAGATCCTCCGCGGATGTTACGCTATGGAGATGTTTCTACAGCCATTGCAGCGGTTGAGGAGATGCTGCAAGACAGGGATAGCATTCTGGAGGAGCTCAACGCATGGAGGCAAGCACCGCCTCAATCTGCGCCCTTACAGGCAAGCTTTTGTCGCCACTCGCCGTAACGAGAAGCTGGCCCCTTGTTACTTCGGACCCTTTGAAATCCTTCAACGCATTGGCAAAGTCGCTTACAAGCAGCAGCTACCACCACACAGTCTCATCCATCCGGTCTTCCACGTTTCCCTCCTCAAACGTGCCATCACCGCTCCTGCGCAAGGGTATTGATAAGCTTGTTGTTCCACTGGCTTTCATGAAGCAGAAGCAACGCTCGGGAAGAATGGCTAAGAAGTATGAAGCAGGACTCGACGGGAAAAGTGGCTAAGGAGAGAAGACTATTATTGAAGTAGAGGGTTTGTTGCTTTTAATAATCAAAACACTGTCGTTTATTATTTCTGTAATGGGTATTTCAAAGGGCCCAACTGTTAGGGTTCCCTTATCCACAACATTAAACAATTATCAATCTATCTTCTTGCCATTTTCTCTCTTCTCTCTCTCGTACCACAAGTCACCGGCTTGTTGTTAGGTCACCGGCTTAACAATTTATCCATTGAGTAGTGTATGTTTGTAAGATTGATTGATGAAATATATTGCAAAAGCTCAGATAATTAAAGGCAACAGCTTCACCTGGTCGATCCTAGACTAAAGAATTTTTCTGCAAAAAAACAAAATCATACAAGATTTAAAACCAAATTAATATAAGTCTACATATAGTAGTTTTCCGACGAGACTTTTACGGTGTTAGGCGAATCAAATAGCGTTTTGCCATGGGTCTTTCATCGAAATATGTACGGACGGTGAAATTCTCACCAGATCTCAGAGAAGAAAGCTAGGTTTTTGTGATTGGAGTTTTCGACAGAGTGTTGATAGGCCAGTTCTTCGAATCTCTGCTGTCTTTAACCTTTGATTATGTAGTTCATTTGCTGGTTTCGCAGATCTCAGATCCTCATATGGCGCTAATGAATGACTGGTTGGTTTTGGTTTTGCAGCGTCAACAAAAAGATTTTTTATTAATGATAACAATAAAAAAATATACTTCATACCGTAAATATCTTAAGCTTGTTGTTTAAGCTTGTTGTTCCACTGGCTTTCATGAAGCAGAAGCAACGCTCGGGAAGAATGGCTAAGAAGTATGAAGCAGGACTCGACGGGAAAAGTGGCTAAGGAGAGAAGACTATTATTGAAGTAGAGGGTCTGTTGCTTTTAATAATCAAAACACTGTCGTTTATTATTTCTGTAATGGGTATTTCAAAGGGCCCAACTGTTAGGGTTCCCTTATCCACAACATTAAACAATTATCAATCTATCTTCTTGCCATTTTCTCTCTTCTCTCTCTCGTACCACAAGTCACCGGCTTGTTGTTAGGTCACTGGCTTAACAATTTATCCATTGAGTAGTGTATGTTTGTAAGATTGATTGATGAAATATATTGCAAAAGCTCAAATAATTAAAGGCAACAGCTTCACCTGGTCGATCCTAGACTAAAGAATTTTTCTGCAAAAAAACAAAATCATACAAGATTTAAAACCAAATTAATATAAGTCTACATATAGTAGTTTTCCGACGAGACTTTTACGGTGTTAGGCGAATCAAATAGCGTTTTGCCATGGGTCTTTCATCGAAATATGTACGGACGGTGAAATTCCCACCAGATCTTAGAGAAGAAAGCTAGGTTTTTGTGATTGGAGTTTTCGACAGAGTGTTGATAGGCCAGTTCTTCGAATCTCTGCTGTCTTTAACCTTTGATTATGTAGTTCATTTGCTGGTTTCGCAGATCTCAGATCCTCATATGGCGCTAATGAATGACTGGTTGGTTTTAGTTTTGCAGCGTCAACAAAAAGATTTTTTATTAATGATAACAATAAAAAAATATACTTCATACCGTAAATATCTTAAGATTGAGTGAAGGATAGATTTGTAATTGCAATTAATGAAAGTGTCTACATTGTTAAAAGTGTCTGTTTATGTAAGATGAGTTTGAGAAAATGCTCTTGGGTGTAATAAACTTGAAGAATACCAACAAATCTAACAATAGTAGCAGACACCAAGGACTAGTGTCAAGAGACAAATTCAAAGCCGATATATGTTTTAGATTGTTAAAAAATTCAAGATATATATAAATTTTTGTCAACAAAAGATTCATTTTTGATTTTTCTTTTCCTTTGAACTGAGAATATGCCATTTTTAGTCTTTGGCGTTCTGTGGTTCAAGACGTACTTTTCAGCATTTGAATCAATCTATACAATTATTTAAGAAGTAGATTTCCGACGTGTCGCTTCCACATTCGTTCTTACTATACTTTAGCCATCGATTTTTTCAATTATACCCTTAATGAAAACCGTGATCTAATTCTCGGTTTAGTGTTATTGATTTTGATTTTGATTTTGGGCTGTAGCTCATAAAATTATTCTTTGTAAATCCTAAATTATTCAGTGTAAATCCTAAATATATTTTCTTATAAATAGTGTAATCTTCTCTAGCCACTTTTTATTTTTCTGCAGCCGTAGGTTTAGTTTCGTTCATATAGATTTTTCTGTAAGTTTAGTTTAGTTCATGCATAGTTTGTTTGTTTTTGTTATATTTGATGTATGAGGCTGTCTCCATCTCTCTCTTTCCAATCGGAAGCAAAGATGGATTCGACGAATTCTCAAGGCCTTCATTGATTAGTGTACCCTTCCCTCCTCTCTACACCTACGCTCTCTTTCGTCCGCGAGTACCTCAAGAGGTAGTACTTTTCATCTTCTCTAACTTTGGTTGCTTTGATCTAATCATCTTTTCTATGCTTTAGTTTATATCTGTGGTGGTTGGGGCTCAGAAAGTATTGATCTTTGAGTTTATGTTTGTGGATAGTGTTTTATTTGCTGAATCTCACAGAAATTTCGTGAAACTGTTTTAATTTGCGATGGATGAAGATGGAGACGGACATAATCAGCCGAGATTCCGTAAAAACCGGACTTCCAAGGAAAGGTTTTGGAGTTCCGGTTCAAGTCGCCGTTGAACGATCCGATCCTGGTCCTATTCTTCAGCCTTGTGCAGCTTCAGACGGTGGAGTTCAGGTTAGTCTTTCTTTTTTATTGGTTTTAACTGTGTGGAAAGTCTAGAGATCGAAAAAAGTCATGAGAGTATCTGATTCTAATTATGAAAATATGGCTTAGGCTTTTATGGAGAAGTTTAATGTGTTATCTTATACTAACTTCAGTTACATGCTTTTTTGGTAGCATGATTGTTAATTCAATTTGTTTGTTTCCTATCACACTCAGACGGAGACTAAAATTGGTTTGTGACTTTGTGGAAAGATCCCACATTTCGTATTCTTAGCTAAACTTTGATAAACATTGAATCCTGTTCTACACTCGTCCCTGCTTTGTATGGTTCTTTGGTTTGGCTCGAAATTGGCTTTACACCTGTCGTTCCTATATTGTTTTTGGCTATTCCCTGAATAATCTATTAAATTAAGTGTCTTTATGTTAACTGTATATAGATTCATCTTTGTATGTGAAACTATATGTTAACTTTATATAGGTTCATCTTTGTATGTGAAACTATTTGTTAACTCTATATAGATTCATCTTGTATGTGAAACTAATGAATCGTAGTCATCATCACTCACGAGGCTAAGATAGAGTTTAAAGAATCTTAATTGGTATAGACAATAATTTGGTGACATCTTAGCAGAATCATTGACTTAAGTTACTTTAACCGAGAATTAATCAAACCTTTTGTTTGGATCAGGGACTACGTTGGTACTCAATGCGGTTAAAGATGGATGAAGACAGAGATGTTGCAGATGAGTTCTTGGAAGATCATCATAACTATAAGACTTTGCCAAAAGATGCAAAACAAAAGCTGCAAAAGTGAGAGGTTTAGTGATATCTTCTGATGGGAAACTTCAGCCATTAATGCACTGAGAAATGAACACCAAGGAGAAAGATCTGCTGAATAGTGTGTGATTGAATCAGAGAAAGGGTAGAATCTGTGTTTCATTAGCCATTTAATCTCGATACGAGTCGCTGGTTGTTGATACTTGAGAGCATTTTTTAAAAAATGTTATTTAACTGTGAGTTTTATATAGTGAATCTCTCTGTTGGGGTTGTCTGAAAACGTATGTGCAATTGTTGTAGATCCTGTAGTACTACAAGTTCTCTGTGTGTATACATTACCTCGGACCTCCTTGCTAGCAAAATATTATGCATTTCATATTCTCCTCATGAAATATACACCAAGGATTAAGGAATGATGGTTAATATGAGAACTGTATCGTGTATTTGATATATTGATTTGATTTGCATAAAACCCAAGAAAGTATAAATTATATATGATCCAAAATTATAAAGAATAAAATATTATTTTTTATAGATTTGTTTTTAAAAATCGTGTATTCAAGTTTACATTTGGAATGACTTTGGGTTTTAATAAGATAATTTTGTTGATTTTGAGTAAATTTAGAAAAGGTGCAATAATTTTTTTTATCTCATTTAAGATCATAAAATTTGAATCTTTGCATTTTTAACTAACATTTTGGTATATTGCTAAAAAAAACATTTTGGTATACATATGCTTTTTTGTGTGCAAAAAACCCCAGTCCATAGTGCGCATCATAGTTTTTCAATCGATTAGATTAATTTATTTTTAGTATCACGACGCAATTGAACAAATCATATAAAACAAACTCGAACAAGTAAAAAAAAATATAACATGACAAAAGAAACCAAACAAACAAACAAATAGATTTCTCAAACTATTCAGCAATATTGACTAGTGAGTTTTGTTTCACGGGGAAAAGACGAAAGACGATGACTTGAAAAGTAAGCCAACTCTACTCTGAACTCTAACAATTTCAAGTCTCTCTTTCTTTTTCAACCTTATCTTCTTCCCGAGAGCTCTCTTTACCTCGACCACATGATTATCATTACCCATAACAAATCGTCTCTTCTTGACTTGTACTCTTTTGTAATGTATTATCTAATTTCTTTTTCATTAAGGATTTCATTATTCTTTGTTGTGTATATCTTTTAATTTGGTTGGACCAAAATGTTTTGAACACAAATACATTTACTCTGTTTGCAAAAGAAGCCGAGCATGCGGCACCTTTACCTCCATGGGCACTTCTGAGCTTTGCAAAAAAATCCTCAACCTCTCTAATATAAAAAACTATGATAAACAGAAGTTTTAAAATGCTAAAACAGGGTTTAGGATCGATGGTCATATTCAGGAGTGTCAAAGGTTTAAGCTTTGGTTTGAAAATATATAGATCTACTCTGAAAAAAGCATAAAAAGATAAGACTGAAAGTTGTCGATAAAAAGGATGGCTGCCCTTTGCCAAAAATAACCAAACCGCCAACTGGTCCCCCCTTCGCTACGGTCAAAAGCTGAGCTGGCCGGATAAGGTCGTAGAGATCGACCTTGAGATCGATCAGTGCACTCGATCGTCTTCAGGGATCGCATTCTGCTGCTCGATCTGCAAATCGATCTGGTTGGATGGTTCGAGTACTTCGTTTGATCTTCTACTCGATCTTTGGATGATCGAGTCATGGTCTTGATCCGGCTCTCGTTTTGCATGGTGTCATTTACGTCCGTACTCCAGATCGATCTCCTCTCTTGATCTTGGTCTCGGACTTTCCTCTTGAATCGACTTGGATCACTCGATCTTCTGGTCGATCTCATCTAGATCAACCTGCCTTGCTCAATCCACCACTCGATCTCAGGTCCTTCGCATGAAAGATTGAGTTCTCCAAGTGTCCACGAGCTTCTAGCTGATCCTCCTCACGTCCACATAACCTCCACAACTCCAGAGTGCTCCAAACAACCTGATAATGAAGCAAAAGTGCAAGAAACATGCAAAATACGAATGCAAAAGGACCTAGGACCTAAAATGAAACAAATGGAACAAACTAGCTATAATGCAAGATGGATGCATGAAAAACTATCCTAAATGCATGCAAAATATGCAAAATATATGGTAATATCATACAGCATCAAATAGAAATTTCATGGGGAATACTGTTGTTGATAGTCTAGCTCTTATGGAGAACTTGGCACTTTCTGATAGAAATTATGGTGAAGAATATGACAGAACATCTAGAGCTGTTGTAAGCGCTGAAGGTGAGAGCTCAACAAATAAGAACATTAAAGCTTTGAGTGACAAGTTAGACAAGCTACTGAGTGTGTCTATCAAGAATGTCAGTTTTGTTGGTGATAGTCTTGCTACACAAGAAGAAGATGGGACAGTTGTAGAGAAAGAAGCCTTATGCATGAATCAACAAGGAGGCGGTTTTAACAACTAAAGAAATCATCACAACTTCTCTTATAGAAGCACCAACGTGGCTAACCCTCAGGATCAAGTCTATCCATCACAAGCTGCTCAACAAAACCAAATAATCAAACCTTTTGTTCCTTTCAACCAGCAGAACAACTTTGCTCCAAGGCCACCACTTCAAGGCTGTTTTCAGCAAGCTCACTTTCAGCCAAGACCAGCTTTTGTCCCACCAGGTTTAGGCAATACACAAACCTCTTCTAGCACTCAAGATGTTGATCTGAAGTAGATGATGCAACAGCTATTGACTGGTCAAGCCAAGACCACTATAGAGCTGCACAAGAAGTTTGCTGAAGTACACAACAAGATAAACGCCACTACTTGTGACCTGAATGGCAAGTTAGATGCTCTGAACCAAAGATTCTAGTCTCTTGAAAGCAAATGTGCTTCATCTTCAAAACCTCAGAATCAGTTACCAGGAAAGAGTGAAGCCAATCCTAAGGAATTCTGCCACTTACTTGCTGAAGAGGATGAAGAGTTCGATGATGAAGATGCTTCATTGGAAGACATTGGCATTATGCTTCAAGAGATACTATTACATGTAGACATGTTAAAGGCAGAGTGTGGGGGGAATGTCATCAATGTCACCATTGATGATCAAGAAGCTGGTTATATTTTACAAAAATTCCTCCAAGGGTTAGATGAAAGCTTGAACAGAGAAGAAGAGCAAGAAAGAGTTGCAAAAGAAGCCGCTGAGAAGGAAGAGGCTTAGAACGCCTTAGTTGCTCCAGAAGAAGAAGCCAAACCAGAGATCAGTGAAGCTGATACAGATCTTGTAGAGACATACCATGCTTTGATGGTCTTGGCTAGAGAAATTCCTGAAGACTTCAAGGAGTTGTATTATCGCCAAGTGGGCAGCTCCTCAAGCAGCAATGAGAAGGGTAAAACTCCTGAAGTTCAAGCTTATAAACCACCAATCCTTTACCCCCACAATGCATTTTAGAAAGGCTCATATGGCAGTTTATTCAAAGTTCAAGAAGGACATACAAAATGCTGGAATAAAGCTTCCTCATAGCACCACTTTACTTGAAGTGAAGGATCAAATCAGGTTCCTCAAAGAAGCCTTTGACAAGCTGGAAGTAGTGGAGCCAATTCTAGAGAATCTGGGGGCTAATCTAAAGAGAAACAAGAGCTGAAGACATTGGCAAAGCTTTCCAATCCAGGAAAGTTTCTCATCACTTGTGAGCTTGAGATGCTAGACAATGTTGGAGCTTTGTGTGATTCAGGATCAACTGTGAATGTCATGTCTCTACACTTAAGCCAAACCTAAGGAATCAAGAAGTTGAAGATCTGAAAAGCCTCTATCACTTTTGTGGATAACACCTCAACAAGACCCTTGGGCATGGTAAAGGATTTCTCTTTGAAGATTGGGAATTGTTTGGTGCCAACAGATTTTGTGATTATGGAGAAAACATATTCAAGAGAGGTGCCAATTCTTCTAGGGACGCCATTCTTGGCAACAGCAAAAGCTCAAGTAGACTTCAAGAGAGGATCTGTGATTTTGAAGAATGTTGATGAGTTCAAAATCTATAAGATTGTCTCTCCTTCCATGGCTTTTTGTGGAACAATTGTTGAAGAAGAGAGTGAGCAACAGGAACTTCCAGAGCGTGTGGAGCAAGCTATGAGCTTTACAATGAACATGCTGATGAGAGACACTCTCCCTGATGAGCCAGAGCAGAATCTTGACACTGAATTGAAGCTTGAAGATGGTTTGAAAGAGGACGAAGGCTTGATCACCAAAGAAGTAAAGCCTTTGATCACACCAAGTGTCAAGAAGAGGAGAAACAGGAAGACAGCTCCTGACAAGAAGAAACTGATGTCAGTGGGCACTTGGATTTACGAGAAGAAAGAGGAAGGAGCACCAGCTCCATCAACCTCTTCTCACTAGTCCTCAAACCATCAAAGTCAAGCTTAGTGACTTAAAACAAGAACACTTGGGAGGAAATCCCATGACTATCCTTGTAAATATATGCTTCCTTTTTATTACTAATGTGAAGTCAAAGAACAGGTCCATGATTTTGTAGGATGGCTTCAAGGCCAAGGAAAGAAAACTCTGTTTTCATATCGAGGTACCATATCGAGCAGAACATCCTTCATTGCTGCTCGATACAGCTTATCTCGGGGAAGGATCACTCCGTACACCGAGCAGGTTGCATGATGGAGATCACACCGAGGTGTAGCATTGAGCAAAACACCAAAAGCCTTGCTCGATGTGATCGCTCCTGAAGCCCCAGTCCGTACACCAAAGAGAGTGGACCGTACATCGACCCAAATGCACGGTGCCCTGAAGGAGAAGCTGATCAAAACATGGAACCCTCGAGGCAGAGGAGCATGATCGCCGAGCCACAGGACCTGACGTCCCCGATAAGGTACACATCGAGGTACCACATCAAGTGTTTTGCTCGATATGATCCGTGTAAAAATTGTTTTGAAATTTTTACATGGATAAATCGAGTAAAACCTTTTTGTGGGCCTTGATGGCTGGTAAAATAATATTTTCTTTCCCCCGCACATGCATTTTTCAATTTTAAATGAGTTTTTCTTG